TCTCGGCGAAATATTCTATTCTTAAGTCATGCATTTTTAAATGTTTATTCAGTTTTCTACTGAGTGATTGTTCACATATTCAAGGAAATAATAAAAAAAATTGTTTTTTCTTTTGCAGTATGAAGGTGTAGATGGAAGCTGACTTCTCACCAAAAGTGGTTTATAGAATCAACTTAAAAACATGAGGCAGCAAACAAAAGAAAGTAAAATATTTCTTCATCATCCTTAGGTTCTTTGCTAGATTGCAAACTCCATGAAAGCAGGATAACTTCCATATCCTTAACACCCGGCCTAGAATAAATACTCAAAAAAATTTTTTAAGTGAATTAATTTCCATTTATTTTTATTATTTTTAATCCCTGGAAAATGGCAACTATTTTAATGGGATTTCAGCAAGATATTTAAATAGAATAACTGGGACTTAATTTTGACTCTGATGTTAAACTATATATATATATATATATATATATATATATATATGCATTAAACTCTCTGGGTACCAGTGAGTCTACTTAAAACTTTCTTTTTTGAAATAAAAATTACTTATTGATTTTTAGAGAGAGAGGCATCGATTTGCTGTTCCACTTATATATGAATTCATTGGTTGATTCTTGTGTGTGCCCTGACTGGGTAACAAACCCATAACCTTGGCATATCAGAATGACCCTCTCACCCAGCCAGGACCTACACCTTAATATCTGATTATGATGTTTAATCCTTTAAGAAGCAATAAAGAATGGCTGTGAGAACTATATATGTGAGGAATAGATATACAAAAGCTTACTGATATAGGCAATCTTTTATTATTAACAAGTTATAGTCTCATTGGATATTTATCATTGGTTTAAATTGCACATACCAGTCAAGAATGGTTAAAAAGTCACTACATTTCAAAAATGAGTTAAAGTGACCTAGTGATGATGTGCTAAAGATAGTCATTTTAGATCATGAAAACAAAGACTGATGTGTACACATACTAAAAACATGTATGAGAATGAGAAACACCAAAATTGAGTTTTACCAATGGAGAGGTAGGAAGAAAATGGGGTTGAGATGTACATAGTGGTGCCGAAAATTGTATATAACATGTTCATTTAAATATTAAATGTGAGAAAAGATTGGGTTTATTAAAGCTGAGCGATGGTCATTCATATATTATTATATGCTTGATATTTAATAATAAAAAAAACTATTTAAAAAACTTTGGTGAATGAGTCTCTGTATCTCAGTCTTGATTTCAGTGGTCTCATCTCCAGAGCATCCTAGAAATAAGCCAGGGAAGGGTTTATCTATGCTGTGAGAACAGGTCACATACTACCAAGAACAGTTTAGTTCTTGGTGTTCTATACTTCTGCAATATTAAGACTTTGTAGCTCCTACACTATATATACACTTAAGCGACCAGATTATTATCTCTGAATGTATAATCTGGCCACTCAGTATATAATATATCCTATATAATAAAAGGCTAATATGAAAATCATATCAGCAGGCAGGCTGGCCAACCACCCATATCTCCTTCCCCTGGCCAGGCTGGCTGGACCCCACCCATGCATGAATTCATGCGCTGGGCCTCATCTCCACACAAATATATCACACACACTGAGTGGCCATATTATGTGTTCAGAGATCATAATTATCTAGCCACTCTATATATAAACACAGAGAAATAATAGATACAGTAACTCATACAGGCTTTTAGCCAAATGGGTTGGAAGTTGGAAAGAAAATGGTGTAGGGGACACTAGGTTTGGGGAATCTGGGATGATCTTAATGAAGTAGGAAGGGATATTGTGGAATAAAGGTAATGGCTAGGATCACAATGTTAGGTACTTGTGCTGGTGGAATTTGATTGCTTTGTGTTTTAGAACTTTAAATGACACTGTGTCCTTTTGTACTTATTTCTACATTTGGCAGTCAAATCCAGAAAATGCTCAGAAGGCTCAGATTGCCAAAAAGAAGTTAAGGGATACATTTCCCCCCCCCCCCATCCAATCTGTGCCACTAGTATTAAGTTACCTCTGTAAATTCTCAGAAGATAGACATTATAGGAAATGTATATAAAGGCCAAGATGAGCCTTTCTAGTTACTGTGAACAAATTTACAAAACAAAACAGAACAAAAAACTAGGATAGGTTTTTATTTGAAGGAGAAGGGTTTAGAAACATTCACAACCCATAAAGGGTTTGCAGGACTTGGTATCCATATTGTTGCTAATTCATTGGATTGTGTGTTACAAATTCACATTGCAGTCACATCATCTGGAAAGGTGGCTACAAAAGTGTGTTAAGTCTTATGTAAGGAGGATCCCTCAAGCCTGCCCCAGCTTAATTTTTAATATGAATTCTAATACACACATTGAGCAAAAAATCATACAGTTAGCAGGAAAAAAAAAAAAAAACAGGTAAAAACATTAGGGTCAAACGGGTGTACACTTTTTAAAAATCACAAGCAGATCCAGAAGAGTACACAGGCAGATTACCTCAAAAACCAACAAACCAACCAACAAAAAAACACACCTGTGGTGCCTGATTTTATTGCTTCATAAAGCGTTGTAACGAATGTACATAATGTTGACTCTCAACCAAAGAAAATTCTATGTAAGTCTACCGTATATAGAGGATGTGTAAGAGCTGGAAATAGTCCATTTCAAGATGGACAAATAATGAAATGGTAGAAACTACCTCAATATGTAGGTGATAGCTGTCCAGTTTTAGGTATCACGATTTGGGGGATTTTTTTTTTTTTTTTCTTAAACTAAGAAAGCCTGTGCTGCCCAGTAGGCATGCCCCATATTTTTCCTGGATAAACACCTGTGTGTACTCAGAGGCGGCGGCCTCTGTTCTTACCCTCAGGAGACTGACATCAAATGTTACCCCCTGAAAGCGAGGGGGGGACTGCTGGCTGGGCGAGGGCAGTAATGGACACGATGATGTGGGCCTCCCAAGTCGGAAACCTAGACCAGGCTCAGCGGGGTTCGCGCCCTCACAGCCCCTGAGACAGGCATGCCTGGTGGGTGCGCGGCCCAAGTCTGGGTGTCCCAGCGGCAGGTCCCAGCATCCTGAGCGGCCGGAACTCCCGGCAGGCTCCGGGCGCCGCTGCGCATGCGCTCTCGGACGCAGTGGCGACGCGCGCAAGGAATGCTCTCTTGCGGCTGATGTGGTGGAGAGAACCGCGTTTTCCCGCGCTTTTTTTTTTTTTTTTTCTTTTCCTGTGTCGCCTCAGGGGAGGTATGTCATTAGAATTATTTTCTGTGTCCAGCGCGGAGAGCGGGCCGAGAATTTCAGAGTGATGTTTCTGTGAATCCAAATCTCAAAAACGTGGCCCGTGATAACCGTACGGCTCACGAAATTGGCGCTTCCCCATCTCGTGGATTAGTTGGTATTACCTGGACCTCTCGCTCTTCGAGAACGTTCTCAGCTTCAGAACTGTCTCCAGCGCTTCTGCTTCCGCTGTGCCCATTACCCTGCGGAGGCGAAATAGGCCTCAGAGCGCCAGGGCCCCAAGTGTACCCGTGGAGACTTGGATAAAGATGTCTCCTTGTCGACCCTGTGACTAATGCAACGTGTTTTGTTAATATTTTCCCATTGATTACTAGAGAGACTGGAAGGGAGGGGAGAGGCAGAGAGAGACATCGGTGTGAGAGACATTGGTGGCCTCCCCCGCACCCTGGACTGGGGCCGGATGGAGCCTGCAACGGGCACGTGGCCTTGACCAGAATCCGACCGGGACCCTTGGGGGTGGGGGGCGGGGTGTGGGGTGGCCATGCCCTAACCACTGAGCCAAACCGGCAAGGGCCCAGTGCAACATTCTTGACAGAATTTGTTACTGGAGAAATGTGAACATTGTAAAAAAAAAAAAAAAAAAAAAAAAAAAAAAAATATATATATATATATATATATATATATATATATATATATATATATATATATATTATTGATTTTTTTACAGAGAAGAAGAGAGAGAGATAGAAAGTTAGAAACATTGATGAGAGAAACATTGATCAGCTGCCTCTTGCACACCCCCTACTGGGGATGTGCCTGCAACCCAAGGTACATGCCCTTGATCGGAATTGAACCCGGGACCCTTCAGTCCGCAGGCTGATGCTCTATCCACTGAGCCAAACCGGTTTCGGCTGAATAGTTTTTTCTTTTTGTCTAATTGGTTATCATTATTATTTTTGCAATATATGACTTATTTTAGTGTATCCAGAAGATTGCTGCCCTGTGCTGGTTAGCAAAATCCCAATAAGAGTGAACACTATATTGAAAAGTAACTTAAGAGTATATTTAGTTTCACAGATGTTTTAAATAGAGCACAGCATTGAATAGTATTTAAAATAACCGGTGAATGTTGATCTCATGATGAAAATATCAGCCTTTACACAGCCTTTTCCGGCTTCATAATGGTCAATTATTTAGATGAATTAGGTTAGTTTCCATATAATATCAGGTTACTACTACTCTGTAAGTAAAGAATCAGAGAAATCAGCATATATGAAAAACCTTAAAGTACTTTGCACTAAAGAATGGCTGAAATCAGTTCCTGGACCTTTATATCTATCAAGTGTGAGAAGTAATATTAAAATATCCTAGCAAACTAAGAATGGGTAATAAATTGGAATTTTTTATTTATGTGTTAAGGAATGACAAAAAGCACTACTTTTTTTTTTTATTTGTACTTTTTAAACTTTCCCTCCATGTACATATTATTTTTTATTTTAGTAAATTGGAACCACTTGTGTCTTAACTTTCATTAAATGTTTTTTCAAGGCCTTTGTAGTGGCTTGCACAAAGAAGCACAGTTAATATGGTTAAGTGATTAAAATAAACACAATTTATTAACTGCAATAAATGCAAAAACATAAATGTACATTATTATAAAATTAAAACATGGTTTCTTTATTTGTTATTTCATTTTCACCGCAATTTGATTTATTTGGCCTTTTTACTTACTGCTTATTAGGATTCATTTCAGGATCTGGGACCTCACTATATATTATGTCTTTGTGTGACGACATGCTGCTTTGTAATTATCGAAAGTGTCGCATCAAACTCTCTGGTTATGCATGGGTCACAGCCTGCTCTCACATTTTCTGTGATCAGCATGGCAGTGGTGAGTTCAGTCGTTCACCAGCTATCTGCCCTGCTTGCAACAGTACCCTTTCTGGAAAACTAGATATTGTCCGTACAGAACTCAGTCCATCAGAGGAATATAAAGCCATGGTACTGGCAGGACTTCGACCAGAGATTGTGTTGGACATTAGCTCCCGAGCACTGGCCTTCTGGACATACCAGGTTAGTGCTTAGGCTTTTCTTTGGAGAGTATGCTTTAAGGTATATGTAGAAGTTTCCAATGTTTTTCCTTCACTTATGTTTGTACTTATTTTTTATGAATGTATGGAAAACTTTCTTTTTAATAATATTTTTTCTTTAAAAGTAATATGTTTATTTTTGAAAATCCAAAAGAAAGAAAAATTTAAAAAACCATAATTCCATCACTCAGAGATAATTATTGTTGGTATTTTGTGTATTACTACTTTTATGTGTATATATATATGTATTTTATATATAAATATATATTTTTGTCTTTACAAAAAAAGAATAATGCCACACATACTGTTTTGTGGCCAGTTAAAGTCGACGATATATTATGCTTATTATGAATATTTTATTAAATATTTTAAAAGTAAGCATTATGTAATTATAATTTTTTTTCATATTAAAGGGAGGTTTATTCCCCAGTAACCTGTAATTATAATTTTAATGGTTACATTGTATCATAATTTATTTACAAGCTATTAAAAATGCTTTGATGAACATTATTAACATCATATTCATGTCTTTAATTATTTGCCAAGATTAAATTTCTAAAGATAGATAAGTTAATTTCAATGTTTTTTAAATTGCAGTATTTAAAAAAAATATATATTGTTTTTTGTTAATTCTCACCCAACAATACTTTTCTTTTAAAAAATATTTTTATTGCCGAAACCGGTTTGGCTCAGTGGATAGAGCATCGGCCTGTGGACTGAAAGGTCCCGGGTTGATTCTGGTCAAGGGCATGTACCTTGGTTGCGGGCACATCCCCAGTGAGGGGTGTGCGGGAGGCAGCTGGTCGATGTTTCTCTCTTATCGACGTTTCTAACTCTCTATTCATCTCAATTCCTCTCTGTGTAAAATCAATAAAATATATTAAAAATATTTTTATTGATTTCAGAGAGATAGGGAGAGGGAGAGAGAGCTAGAAACATCAATGATGAGAAAGCATCATTGATCAGCTGCCTCTTGTACTTCCCCATTGGGGATCATGGTTCAACGCTCAACCACTGAGCCACACCAGCTAGGCACCCGAGGATATTTTTCCATTGATTTTTAGAGAGAGTGGGAGGGATACCTAAGTATTTTGCTGGCTGTTATCCAAAGTTTGCTCTCAGTTACTTGCTTTGTTGGCCTTCCCAGAATGGCTGCATGCTTTCACAAAGCCAACAAGAGAGAATGTGCTAACAAGACAGATTTCATATTCTTATGTAGTGTACTCATGAAGTGACATCTTGCAATTTTATTTTTATTTTATTGTTTAAAGTATTACATATAGTAGTACATATCTCTCTCTTTTTCCCCCTTTGATCTTCCCCCAGCCTCCCCTACCTCCTGTTGCATGCCCTCATCCCACCTCCCAACATCTTGTAATTTTTTTCTGTGTTTTAGTCACGGGTCTCCCATACACACTCAAGGAGGATATATAAATACCAAGAGGCAGGAATAATTTTGGGCTATTTTATAATCTCTTCTTTGTACTATGATTTACTTAAAACATAGGATTATGTTTCTTTTAAAAATATATTTCTATTTATTTTAGAGAGGAAGGGAGAGAGAGAGAGAAAGAGAGAGAGAGAGAGAGAGAGAGAGAGAGAGAGAGAGAGAGAGAGAGAGAGAGAGAAACATCAATGATGAAAGAGAACCATTGATCAGCTGCCTCCTACACGCCCCCTACTGGGAATCAAGCCTGGAACCCAGGCATGTGCCCTTGACCTTAATCGAACCTGGGGTCCCTTCAGTTTGCAGGCCAATGCTCTATCCACTGAGTCAAACAGGCTAGGGCGGATTATATTTCCTAAAAAGTTTGGACTACATGTCATTTGTAAAAGTTAGACAAATGCTTACTTCTTTGGTTGGTGTAATGGTACTGGTGTAATAGTATTCCTCTAGATTTTTTAAATGTATTTAGTGACATATTATTTTCTATAATAATCATCCTATTGTCCACCCTGATTACTTCTTAACATGGTTCTAAATGTTAATAATAGTCCAGGATAAGCATCTTTCTTTTATTTTTGCATTTGTAAAATTTTACAATATATAAGTTTTATATTTATTACCTTAAAAATCTTTTTTTCTCCTCTCTTGGGACAGGTACATCAGGAGCGTCTCTATCAAGAATACAAATTCAGCAAGGCTGAGGGCCATATGAAGCAGATGGAGAAGATATATACTCAGCAAATACAGAGCAAGGATGTAGAATTGACCTCTATGAAAGGGGAGGTCACCTCTATGAAGAAAGTACTAGAAGAATACAAGAAAAAGTTCAGTGACATCTCTGAGAAACTTATGGAGCGAAATCGTCAGTATCAAAAGCTCCAAGGTCTCTATGATAGCCTTAGGCTACGAAACATCACTATTGCTAATCAAGAAGGTAACCTTGAACCATCCATGATTTCCAATCCTGGTATTTTTGGCTTCCCATTAGGTAAGGAAGGATATATAATTATCTAATATTTGTTCTTTAAATCACTGATTTTTCACATTGTGTTCTGCATGGCTCCAAGTAGTCAGTAGAGACTCTACAGGCCGAGAATGGTGATAGGCTGTAGATTCTTCATGTCTCATTCTGTATATGATTTATCTATTATTTTTTATTTATTATATTTGTTTATGTTTAAGTTACAGCTTCAATTTGAACAGAAAGTAAATATCTTCAAAATAAAATCTCACAAATTGCTACTTTAAATGAAACGCTATTTAATTGCAGTAATAGTAGTATTAGCTGCCATTTATTTATTTATTTATTTTATTATTTGGTAAATTGATTTTTAGAGAGAGAAAGGGGGGAGGGAGAGAGGGAAGGAGAGAGGGAAAAAAAGAGAGAAGGAGAAAGATATCGATCAGTTGCTTCCTATAAATGCCCTGATGAGTGGGGATCGAACCCACAACCTAGGTATGTGCCCTCCGGGAATCAAATCCATGAACTTTTGGTGCACCGGACAATGTTTTAGCCAACTGAGTCACACCAGCCAAGGCTAAAAATGTGTTTCATTGTGTCAAATTACTTTTGGTGATGAGGTCATGGCTGTAATTGGAAATTGCATCACAGAAGAAAGTATAGTATATACTGTGGTCAGGGGGAAGGATGGGGACCATCATGGTCCTTTTCTATGTAACATTAGGTTTATATTTTATTTGTTTTGTATGAATTGAGTTCTGTTAAAATATTTATTGAATGACTTTTGTCTTTTTGGTTTTAAAGATTTGTAAATAAATAGATGCTTAAGTTTTCGCCTTCTTTCCCCCCCCCAGGGAACAAACCCAAGTTTCCTTTGGAAAGGACACCAGTTCAAAACCAGGGTGGTGGAGACGGAGATTTTCAGTTCAGACCATTTTTTATGGGTTCTCCCACAGCTCCTGAACCCAGCAACAACTTTTTTAGTTTTGCATCTCCAAGTCGTGAATTAGAGCAGCAGCAAGTCTCTAGCAGGGCCTTTAAAGTAAAAAGAATTTAATGAACTTTACAAAATGTTTCTCTGTACACTTCCAGTGATTTCATTTATCAAATAATCTTTATTCTAGATAAGATCCACCAACCTCCCTCTGCTACTAAATTTTGAAGTTGTCTTCATATATTCAATTTTTAAGAAATTGAATAGCAGTGAGGAATGGCTTTAGAGACTGGTTCTTTTTTCTGTTTTCATTATTTAAAGCATGAGCATTTTATTAAACTCAATTTCATTGTGAACTGTTGAGTTTTTACCAGTAGTAGGAAGGTTATAATATTATAGGGTGCTTTGCACAATTTGTTTCTGTCTGGGTGTTTCTGACTGAGCTATATGTTTATGCTTATGTATAAAAGCACCTATGTTATATGTCTACATGCCATTTTGGAATTTGGTATCTATGCATATATGTATATGCATGTTCCTTTATATTGATATTTTGCTATTTTTTACAGTATATTTATAAGAAGATTTAGGTGTCAGGAAATGGTAATGTATGCCTATAGTTTGTTATTTGGGTGTATACATTTATTCCTATATATTTGTATATTTGCTCTTGTATTAACTTGTTTGGAATGTATGTGCTCATTTAGTGAATGAGAATACAATTTTATGTACATATGATCAGTTCTTATTTCTATTTAAAAATAATTTACATTGTTAAAGTTATTTTGTAAAGTTGTTTTATGCCACTTATTTAAAAATAAAATTATTCCTTCTTTATTGTTTTGTCAGCTGTTGTCTTGGGTTTATTTATTATATATATATATTTTTTTTAAAAAAAATATATTTTATTGATTTTATACAGAGAGGAAGGGAGAGAGATAGAGAGTTAGAAACATCAGTGAGAGTCATCAGTCAGCTGCCTCTTGCACACCCCCTACTGGGGATATGCCCACAACCAAGGTATATGCCCTTGACCGGAATCGAACCTGGGACCCTTCAGTCCCCAAGCCGACGCTCTATCCATTGAGCCAAACCGATCCTGGCTATTTATTATATTTTTATTAAATATATTTTTATTGATTTCAGAGAAGAAGCGAGAGGGAGAGATAGAAACATCAGTGATAAAAGGGAATCATTGATTGGCTGCCTCCTGCACTCCTACTGGAGATTGAGCTTGCAACCTGGGCATGTGCCCTTGACTGGAATCAAATCTGAAACCCTTCAGTCTGAGGTTGACATTCTATCCACTGAGCCAAATTGGCTAGGGTTTGGGTTTACTTATTTAGTAATGCACTTCTATCATAGAAAACTTACAATATGATATTAATCTCAAGAGGTTATATTAATTAAAATACTTTTAAAAATTTAAAATTGATTTTAGAAACAGATTGTTTCTAGGATTTTAGTAATGGAGAGAGAGAGAGAAACATGGATGCCAGAGAATCTGTTGGGAGCCATCAGAGTTGAGACGTGCAACTCCGTCTTAAGGAAATAGAATTAAGTTCCTTCTAGCAGAAGTTATTCGGTGCCCTGAGGGTTTGGGCAGAAGCTATTAACCTGCTGCTTAGCATCTCTGCAACTTCCCCTTCCTGATCCCCATAGCTAGCCCAGCCTTGGAATGTTACACCTTGGAATGTTACGCCGCCCTGGCAGTTAGCCAATCCTGTGTTGCCAGAGATACCTTACCACCTTGCCACTCAGTGCCTAAACCAATTATACACTGCCAAAGACCCCTCTGCATAGGCAACCCTGCCTCCCTTTGTTCCTGCTGTATATATACTGCCATTTCAAAAAATAAAGTTTGAGGCTTGATCAGAACTTTATCTTGCCTCCGTTCTTCGCGTTCCTTGTTTGTTTTATTCTCTTAGGTGGTTCCTGCGTACCCCCGTTGTTGCCCTGCGGGTTGGGGACAAGAATCATTGATCAGCTGCCCCCTACATGCTCCCCACTAGGGATCAAGTCCACAACCCAGGCATGTGCCCTGACCAGGAATTGGACCATGACCTCCTGGTTCATGGGTCCACACTCAATCACTGAGACAAGCCAGCTAAGCTCTTCCTTGAACTTTTGTTTCTTCCTATAGATTCACAGAATCAATCTGGAGTACAGGTAAGCTATAATTAAAACTAAAAAGTAAACAGAAACTTTGTTAGGACTATTACATGCAACTTTAAAAATAGTTACTTATTATTGAAAAGTTGAATATATTCACATGGTATAAACTCAAAAGGTACAGAAAAAGCACCTGTTTCCCAGCCACTGAGTCCCCTTTTGGAAAGTTATTGTTGCAGGTCTCTTGTGTCTCTTTCAGAGAGTCTATATAGAAGTAAGTAATATTTGAATTTAAAGATTATGCTTATTTTTCAGTAACTAATACATGCACATAGCAATAAATTCAAAAGTGTACATAGTGAAATTTTCTTTGCCTACCAACAACTCTCTGTTCCCCTACTTCCTTCTTCAGAGACATTTATTGTCTCTTATGTATCCTGGATATATAGTCTATCAATTAGCATTATTTGTGCACTAATATCCTCTACAATAATAGGCTAATGTGCAAATATACCAAACAGTGGAATGACCAATCACTATGATGCACACTGACCACTAGGGGGCAGAAGCTCAATGCAGGAGCTGCTCCCTGGTGGTCAGTGCTCTCCCACAGGGGGAGCGCTGCTCAGCCAGAAGCTCTGAGCCGTGCTCACAGCTGGCAAGGAGTGGGCCTAAGCTGTGTGTTGGACATCCCCCCCAAGGGCTGCAGAACTGTAAGAGGGCACAGGCTGGGCTGAGGGACCTCCCCACCCCCGAGTGCTAGAATTTCGTGCACCAGGCCGCTAGTAGTAGTATATTAGTGATGGCTTCCATACTACCTCAAATGTAGTAGATTTATTAGGATAGTGTGTTCAAAATGATAAATTCCTCATACATAAAAAATCACTGTAAAATTACTGTAAAGTACTACATTTCCTTCAAATTTTAAATTTGTAACACAGGCATTTACACTCAACCTGTCTTCTTTTTGGGGGTATTCTAATCTGGGCATAAATAAGTAGGAAAAAGTGAGACAAAAACATACAGTACATGCAATTAGCTGAGAACAGATTGTTTCTAGGATTTTGGAAATGAAGTTTATGAACTGTATTGTGATTACAGACCATCTCCTTTGATCTTGAGATATTGGGTTAAGTTGGTTTGGAGACATACTCTTCCCCAGAAACCAGCTTCTCTACTTAGGTGTAGGCAAGCCTCCGGCGCCCTAGATGTCGCTGTGGCTCCATGCTGAGCGTAGGTATGCGTCTCTCTGGTTATAAAGTTGGGGGCGGAGTAGCCGAGAGTGTCCAGGAAACGATGGCTGATGAAGAGGAAGAAGGCAAACAGATCTTGCAGAAATTGCAGGTGGGCTGCAGGGTAAAACCTGGATGCGCTTTTGTTACCGGGGAGAAGCAGGGACCCCAGTTTATGCGGTACCTGCGAATGCCTTGGCCCCTCCGGACGCCGCGCGCGTGGTGCGGTTACTATAACAACCTCCGGAGGGGCCGCGCCGCGGGCCGGGAGCCTGCGGGCCAGGGGAGCGCGCGGACCTGGCAGTGTCAGTCCTGCAAGGGAGATGATTCGTTGCTCCTAACTTTATTCATGCACGTTCTTATGAAGCTCCCCCCCCCCCCCCTCCTCGATTCACCCATAACAAAAAGCGTACACATGGTCATGGCAGATTTCCAGGAGCTGTTTTGATCCCCACAAAGGCCGTTTCTCACTTCTCTGCTTTGAAATTGGCAGTAATCATGGCAATGGCTTGCCCCGCATGTGTCCTGGTTACTCCTTTTAGTACTTAATGGTTTTGTTACTCTTTGGGGTCTGATGCAGAGGGGACCAGACTCCACCCAGTCCACAAGAGACTGCAGTTTTGAATAGGACTTGTGTTTTGTCCTAGGTAGGTAGGTAGGTAGGTAGGAGCTAACTCCTTTCTTTTAATGACCCAAGAATTTTTTCTTAAATCACAGAAACTCAGTTTTGTGTGTGTGTTATAAAACAGCTTGTAATTTAAACATTAGACCTGTGACAGGCTTGCAACTTGCTTAAAGGCTTTTACGCAAAAAGTTAAACATTGGTGAGATTTTGTTGTTGGTTTTTGAGCAGATTTATATGATAAACACTTTTTAGAATGTGAACTTTACTTCCATTCGACTTGGATTAACTGAACTTTATATTCTAGTATGACTGGCTGAAATATTATTAGTGTGTATATGTTTGTGTGCATGGATCTCTCTCTATACACACACACACACACACACACACTGAGTGGCCAGATTATTATGATCTCTGATGCATAATAATCGGCCACTTGTGTGTGTGTGTGTGTGTGTGTGTGTGTGTGTATAAAAATATGGAATAGAGGAGAAGAAAGGAATAATGATGCTGTTATCCACGGGAATGGTGGCAAGCTTTGATTTCATTCTTATAGACATCTTAGGGTACAAGGGAAAAGTGTATTTTTCAAAGTGTGTTTCACGGACTATTTTTATTACAGTCATCTAGAATGCTTGTTAAAATGCAGTATTTTGAATTTTGCTAAACTTACTAAAATCAGAATCTCTGCAGGCCGGCCTGGAAATGATATACATAATGAAATTTGAAAAGCACGGATACACAGGGTGCTGGTCCATTCTCTTTGTTCTGGTAGGCTTTTAAATTAAGTATAGGACATAAGTACTATTTGTTAGAGATGGGGACTGTTCTTTAATTCATTCAGTTAAGTCTTGTGTGGTGTTCTCTCCGCATAATCAAACCATCCTTGTGCTTCCTAGGAACTGGTGGACCAGCTCTACTCATTTCGAGACTGCTATTTCGATACACACAGTGTTGAGGATGCTGGGAGGAAGCCACAGGATGTGCGGGAGGAGATGGAGAAGACCCTGCAGCAGATGAAGGAAGTAATGGGTATGAGTTCCAAACGAGCATGCAGCCCTTTGCCCATCACTGACATGTGTAGGGTTTTCTCTTGCTGTGTACTTTTGGGTATCCTATTTGTGGCTGCTACAGCATGAGACAACAAAATATTACCCCTTGCAGGATGGCAACCTTGCAGTCCTCTAATTTTCCTAAAGTTTGATTATAGTAAATGCCATGAAATAAAATAACATAATTGTGGCTTGAACTATTACAGTGATCTTCTTAACTGACCTTTATGCCTCTAACTTTTTACTTCCAAATGAACTTACTTAATGACTGTGGCCATTATCTTTTTAAAATATTATTTAAAGCATTTAATTTTATCCTTTTGTCTGCCTCTTTGCTCAAGTGTTTTCAAAGATGCTACTATTGAATGTGTGAACTCTAAACCCCTTAACCTGGTATTTAAGTCTCCATTTTCTGACTCCTCTCCTCCCCCCGTTCCCCCATCTCTAACTGCATGCTTACAGAGGAAGTTTTTGTTTCATTCAGGTTGGATCATGCATTCTCTCATGAACGTGCCACATGTTTTATGCCTTTTTTTGTTTACATCATTTTCCTACCTGGAGTTTTTAAAATATATTTTATTGATTTTTTTTTTTTTACAGAGAGGAAGGGAGAGAGAGAGCTAGAACATTGATGAGAGAGAAATATCCATCAGCTGCTTCCTGCACAATTCCCACTGGGGATGTGCCTGCAACCAAGGTACATGCCCTTGACCGGAATCGAACCTGGGTCCCTTCAGTCCGCAGGCCGATGGTCTAGCCACTGAGCCAAACCGGTTTCGGCTACCTGGAAGGTCTTCCCCCCCTCCCCTTTTTTTTTTTACCTTTTAAAGCCCATTCATTGGTTGTATGCACAGATTTTGACTAATATTTATTTATTTATTTATTTATTTATTTATTTGAGAGGGAGTGGAGGGAGGGCACAGAACGGAGAGGGATAGAGAGAGAAACATCATTAATTGGCTGCTTCCTGCATGCCCCCTACTGGGAATGGGGCCTGCAACCTGAGCATGTGCAATGACTGGGAATCCAACCAGTGATCTCTTGGTTCATGGGTCAGTCTCTGAGCCACACCGTCCAGGCAGCACTTAATTTTTTAAGTGCTTTGTCCTCTCTACTAGATTATAAGCCCCTCAAAGGTAGGGATAGTGCTTTCTTTGTTACCTGGTTATATACCATAGTCCTCTTCCTATGGTAGGCTTTCAATAAGGGGTTTGTTCATACAGATTTTCCTCAGATATTTTATTTCTAGAGCTGACATGGGATTATTCCTTGAGAGAAAGTGTTCTGGTCTTATCTGTAAGACTGCCTGGGTTTTTCCACTTTCCTGTATCTTTTTCCCTTTCTCCTAGGTTCTGTCCAGGGCAAAGCACAGGTTCTGATGCTAACTGGGAAGGCACTGAATGTGACTCCTGACTATAGCCCTAAGGCTGAGGAGCTCTTGTCAAAGGCTGTGAAGTTGGAGCCCAAGCTGGTGGAAGCCTGGAACCAGCTGGGGGAGGTGTACTGGAAGAAAGGGGATGTTGCAGCCGCCCACACCTGCTTCTCAGGAGCCCTCACCCATGTGAGCTGACCACTGTCCCCTCAGAAGACACAGAAGGGATTGCTTTGGTTCTATGCACTTCCCTAGGATATGAATGCCAGAGTAGAACCATATTGGAACTAGGAGAAAAGAATCATTAAGGAGGAAGGGAGGGGGAACAGACCTAATGAGGAAACCAGGGATAGGGGACTGAAAAAGGAAGATGATGTTGGGGTCAGGTTCAGGGGTAGATGAAAAGTTATCAACCAAGTTGATCCTTGTAGATGTGGGTCTAAGATACACATGGCAATAAGAATTAAGATGACAAGATAGATTTATGTATGAGGTAGATCTGCTATGTCTCCTGGACTTGGTGGAGTCGCCTTGTGAGGTAGGTGTCCTCTAGAGTCCAGTGGCTCAGCCTCCTCAGATATGAGTTGGGCATTCCAGATGTGCCCTGTGTGAGCTGTGTGCACTGCCCTATTGAACCTTGATTGATGTTTGTGACACTGGGAGGGATTGACCCGGGTCAGTCGGTTGCGAGGATTGGCTGCAACTATAGTGGAAGAGCTGCTGTGCAGGAGCCAGCTTGCTTCAGTGGGGCTTTGGTGCTCACCAAGTCTGCCCCTTGCGGGTGTCACTCGTGGAGGTGGTGGGGTTGTAATCTGGCGTGGGTGAAGCTGACCACCAGGTACACTGGCCCTGGAGCCTCCTGGGAGGTGCAATGTTAGCCACTGCCTGTGCCCTGCCTGGGGCCACGTAGCATGAGCTACAAAGCAATCTGCAGATGGCTGCTGCTTGTGTTGGGCTTGGAGGTGCCCAGGAAAGGCCAAGCTGTGAACCAAAGTGTGCTGCTGCTAGTGCTTTGCCTGGGGCCACTTACGGAGAGGTAGGGGGCATGCTGAGGCCAGTTTCTGCTTGTTTGAGAAATTTTAAATAAGACTGAAGCATGAGGCAAGGGAGACCAGTTGTATGAAAGGCCACTGGAAATGGCTTGGATGAGCCTGCAAGTAAGGAGTGGGAGGGGTCCCAGGGAATCACCACGGCAGGGCAAAAAGAGTGAGCCAGGTTGATGGAGATTCAGATTTGGCATCTGCCGATTGGCTCTTTGCAGAGGGGAGGGTTTATCAAAGGAACACTGGTCTCTGCCAGCACTTCTCTCTGGGAGAAAGCTGCCCCTCCAGCCCTTGCTCTGATTCTAGGCAAATTAGTTCCCTCCCCAAATGTCCCAGGTTCCTTTCAAGCTGCTGCTCTAGTGCTGGAGCTCGGAGGAAGTGAGTGAGTCTGAGAAAGTCCATGTGCAATCCCTTTAAGAAGAACTGCCTGGGACTCCTACAGCTTTCCCTGACATTCAGCCATAATCTCCACTGTTTTTTATAGCCAGAAGTTGTGGGGACTTCTCTTCTAAGCACTGGAACCCTTGGCTGGTGTGGGGCTGGGACCCCTCACTCCTCAAGGAAACCTCTGCAGCCATGATATCTCCTGATTTTAAATTGCAACATGTGTGTGTGGAACAACTGGTTCTGTGATTCCATCCCAAGTCTCTGCCCTCCTGCCATGATGTGCTTGGGCTACAAAGTCTCCATGTGCTTCTTCTTTAGTTCCCAGTTGTAGGACTTCCATTCAGCTAGATTTCAGGTGGTTTTGGAGGGGGGTGGTTCTGTATTATAGTTGTAATTTTGATGTGGTTGTGGGAAGTGACGAGTACTGTGTTTACTTACGCTGCCATCTTGACCAGAACCCCTGATGACAAAACAGATTCAGAAGCAGATGGGGATAAAATAGACCTGGAAAGGGGAACTGGAATCAGGAAGGTTGAATATGTGTCTTCTCCATTTGCAGTGCAAGAACAAAGTCTCTCTTCAGAACCTGTCGATGGTGCTTCGCCAGCTGCGGACCGACTCTGGAGATGAGCATTCTCGCCACGTCATGGACAGTGTCCGGCAGGCTAAACTGGCTGTGCAGATGGATGTCCACGATGGCCGCTCCTGGTGTGAGTGCTCTCAAATATCTCCACCCAATTTCTAGAGCAGTGGTTCTCAACCATGGCTACACACCAGAGTCATCTGGAGCAGACCCCACTTCTGGAGTCTGCCTCTGACTGTGAAGCCAGGGCATCTTTGTTTTGAAGAAGCCCGAAAGGTATTTTGTTGAACCACTATTCCACGAACTCTTGAATCTTTTCATTCAAGAGAGGAGTTTTATGTTTCCACATAAGCAAGGCAGGGCTGTTCACCTTTCTCTTTTAGGTCTGTGTTTGCCTCTTTATCCCAGCGATATTTGGGGTGTATTAAATATAGTGTCATCAGTAGTTTGTGTCAGGCTTTAAAAAAAAAAAAAAATATATATATATATATATATATATATATATATATATATGTATATTTACTTGAGGACATGCTTAGAGAGTCGAAGGGGGAGAGAAAGAGAGAGAGAAACATTCATTGGCCGGGTGTCTTCAGTATGCTCTCAACTGGGGATCAAACCCACAACCCAGGTTATGTGCTCTGTCTGGGAATTGAACCAGTAACCCTTCAGAGCTCAGGTTAATTCTCTACCAACTGAGCCACTCTGGCAGGGCTGTGCCAGGCTTTCTAATAGACTTTTCAGGGTGATTAAAACAGGTCGTATCTTTTTTATTTTTTTAATATTATATTTCTTTTGTGAGATTTTATTTATTTATATGTTTGTTTGTTTGTTTATTTCTTCACCCGAGGATATTTTTCCATTGATTTTAGAGAGAGTGAAAGAGAAAGGGGAAGACAGAGAGAAACATTGATGTGAGAAAAACATCGATTGGTTGCCTCTTGTATGTACCCTGACCAGGACCCGGGCCAGGGAGGAGCCTGCAAAAAAGGTACATGCCCTTGACTGGAATTGAATCTGGGACACTTCATTTTTTTTTATTTTTTATTTTTATTTTTTTAAATATATATATTTTATTGATTTTTACACAGAGGGGAATTGAGAAGGATAGAGAGTTAGAAACGTCGATAAGAGAGAAATATCGACCAGCTGTCTCTTGCACCCCCCAATGGAGATGTGCCCACAACCAAGGTACGTGCCCTTGACCGGAATCGAACCCGGGACCTTTCAATCCACAGGCCGACGCTCTATCCACTGAGCCAAACCGGTTTCGGCGAACTTGGGACACTTTAGTCTGCAGGCCGGCACTCTGTCTACTGAGCCAAACTGGCTAGTGCCATATCTTTCTTTTAAAAAATGTATTTTTATTTATTTCAGAGAAGAAGGGAGAGGGAGAGAGAGAGCTAGAAACATCAGTGATGAAAGAGAATCATTGATTGGCTGCCTCATGCATGCTCCCTACTGGGGATTGAGCCCATATCCTGGGCATGTGCCCTTGACCAGAATCGAGCCTGGGACCCTTCAGTTCACAGGCTGACACTCTATCCACAGAGCCAAAATGGCTAGGGCAAACAGATCTTATCTTTTTAAAAAAAAATATATTTTATTGATTTTTTTTTACAGAGAGGAACGTCGATGAGAGAGAAACATCAACCAGCTGCCTCTTGCACACCCCCCACAACCAATGTACATACCCTTGACCGGAATCGAACCCGGGTCCTTTCAGTCCGCAGACCGATGCTCTACCACTGAGCCAAACCGGTTTCGGCCAGATCTTATCTTAAATGCTGGCTCTGAGATGCTCCACCATTGTTTCTTGTTTTTTTTTGTTTGTTTTTTTTCTTCCGTTAGGTGGCGCAGAATGGCTAGAGTGGATGGTTTGGGTATTTCCCTTCTTTAAGTCGGTTAGATTCTGGTTAACTAGTTTCTCCTGTGGATCGTCCTTGTTTACTTTTGTTAAGAACAGAGTGCTCTGCCCTAGCCAGTTTGGCTCTGTGGATAGAGAATCAGCCTGTGGATTGAAGGGTTCCAGGTTCGATTCTCGTCAAGGGCACATGCCCAGGTTGTGGGCTCGATCCCCAATGGGGAGCATGCAGGAGGCAGCGGATCAGTGATTCTCATTATTGATGTTTCTCTCTCTCTCTCTCTCTCCCTCTCCAGTCCTCTCTGAAATCAATAAAGAAATATATTAAAAAAAGAAAAGAAAAAAAGAAAAGAGTGCTCTAGCACATTTTAGAATGTTCCTTTTTCACTCCCTCTGCTAAAAGCAGGAGAGAATTTTTTTCACTAATACTTTTGGGAATCTGGTTAGCTCCTGGAGGTGGATCTCAAAATATTGTGGGGCTCCCCTTATGGCTGAGACCCCTGCATTTTTAACTCCTAGACTTGTGCATGCTGAGCCTCCAGTAATTCATGAGTTAACAGTTCAGGTTCTCATACTCCAGTACTGTTTCCTGTGGCAGCTTGTGAGCTCTATTCTGTTACACCACAACTCCCCGTATTCACCTGTCTGTCGCTCCAGTTTTGGGGGCAGTGGTTTGCCTGGTGTTGTCCCCTCTGTAATGAATCCAAGAAGAGTTGTGATTTTGTATTTCTTCAACTTCTTTCTTATTATGATGGAGCGGTGACTTTCAAGTTCCTCACATGCATAATGTAATCCCTGTGTCTCTTTTCCAGATATTCTGGGGAATGCATACCTTTCTCTTTACTTCAATACTGGCCAGAACCCTAAGATCTCCCAGCAAGCCCTCAGTGCCTATGCCCAAGCAGTAAGTATTTACGGCCGCCCTGGCCAGATGAATAGAGGCAGAAGCAAGAGTGGTGTTCAGTCTTCCTTGTGGCTCTTTAGCAAGCAGGATGAGCACTGTTAGCTGGCATCCGATGTGTGTGGTTTTTGCAAAGCTGTGTCTACAGAGGTGACATTTCTGCTTATCCCCTGAGTATTAGTAACCACTTGCAGTGTGGTGCCTTAGTGCTAGATAGCTCCTCGAGCTGTCTAGACTTTTTATAGGCCTGTATCCAAATCACAGAACCCATGCCAACATGTTCATCTTTTTTTTTTTTTTTTTTTTTTTAATATATTTTATTGAATTTTTACAGAGAGGAAGGAAGAAGAGGAATATAGTTAGAAACATCGATGAGAGAGAAACATTGATTAGCTGCCTCCTGCACACCCCCTACTGGGGATGTGCCCGCAACCAACGTACATGCCCTTGACTAGAATTGAACCTGGGACCCTTCAGTCTGCAGGCCGATGCTCTATCCACTGAGCCAAACCAGTTTTGGCATGTTTATCTTTTTTAAATGGGAAAAAAAATCTATAGTAATAAAAGCATAATATGCTAATTAGACTGGATGTCCTTCCATAGGAAGCTGGGGCTGTGAGGGCCGAGCCCCTTGCATGAATTTCATGCATCGGGCCTCTAGTATTAAAATAATGCTTATTAAATTTGTGCGTGTGTTTTAAGAAAAATTAACCTAAATCTTAAGTATACATTAAGTGCTATCCCCACATGGACCATTACATACTATGGCTTTGATTTCCCACAGGCTAAAGTAGAAAACAGCATCACTTCCTAGGAACTATTGCCCTAGAGCTTGTGCTTTGCTCAGGCGTTCAGGCCATGTTTAATCAGTAACCACCTGCACTGGGGTTTCTTCAGGCCTTGACTGCCTGGTTGCTCATTGAAAGCTTCACATTGGTCTTCTGAGCACTTTCTGTTTAGGCCTTATACTCACCTTTCTTTATTTGCTTTCTTTTTTCCTTTTAAATATATTTTTATTGATTTCAGAGAGCATGGGAGAGAGAGAGAGAAACATCAGTGATGAGAGAGATTCATTCATCAGCTGCTTTCTGCATGCCCCACACTGGGGATGTGGGCATGTGCCCTTCACCGGAGTTGAACCCAGGGCCTTTCAATCTGAAGGCCAGTGCTCTATCCACTGAGCCAAACTGGCTAGGGCTCGTTTGCTTTCTTGCTTCTCTTGACACAGAATTGCTTTTTAACTTGCCGTTACTTATTTTGCTCTGTATGGCAGAGTAAATACAGTTGTATTCTTTATTCTGCCATACAGAGCAAAATAAGTAACGGCAAGTTAATATATTTGCAAGTTAAGGTCTGTCTTTTTTTTTCAGTCAGGGAACTTTTAGGCAGAGGAATTATTTTTTTACTCTTAATTTCTTAATTTGGTTAATGTTTATATTTTAAAGAATAATGTTTATGGTTGTATATACTTTCTTTAAAATTTTATATTTGGCTTCTGCTAAAGACTTACTTTTAACTCTTCATTTCTTCACCCAAACTTGTATTTTAAAACATATTTGAACCAAGCATTTAAACAATTTAAAAAAAAATATATTTTATTGATTTTTCACAGAGAGGAAGGGAGAGATATAGAGAGATAAAAATGTTGATGAGAGAGAAACATCGACCAGCTGCCTCTTGCATACCCCCTATTGGGGATGTGCCCGCAACTCAGGTACATGCCCTTGACCGGAATGGAACCTGGGACCTTTCAATCCGCAGACTGACGCTCTACCACTGAGCCAAACCAGTTTCGGCCATTTAAACAATTTTAATTTCTGCTGTTTGTGCTTTTGCAATGGCTCATTCTCGCCAGGCAATGAATAGAGTTTAAAAAAATAAAAATAAATAAAATAAGCCCTGGCTGGGTAGCTTGGTTGGTTGGAGCATTGTCTCTTACACCAAAAGGTTGCGGATTCGATTCCTGGTCAGGACTCATACTTAGATTGCAGGTTTGATCCCTGGTCGGAGTTTATACAGAAAGCAATTGATCAGTGTTCTTGTGTCTATGTTTCTTTCTCTGTCAAATCAATAAATCCTTGGGTGAGGATTAAAAAAAATACAAAAAAACAAAATGAACATAGCCATAAATGTCATCAGCAGTTTCTTCACAGCGCATTTGTCTGCACTGTCACGTGGTTTCTGGCCATCTATTTACATTAGAGAATCAGATTTTACTTTCAGTGTGTTTTTTAAGAGGACATACAACATGATTCTGCTTGTGTCTGGAGCTGGGCTTCTGGGCAGAGGAAAAGCATTAAATCGACATAATTTCTTTCCTAGGCTTTCCTCATTTATACCATCATCTCACTATTGAAAATTTTTTTGTGACAGTGCTTTCACACATGTCTTCTCCTCTATACTATTGTATAGATAAATTATAATCATTTTTAAAGTTTCACACACATGCAAAATCCCTAGCATCATGAGGTTTCAGTGGCTGTGTAACGTACCACACAAACAATGACTATAAATCAGTGTGGGTATAGGTAACACTTGACAAGAAAGAAACTTGAATATTTTCAGGGAGAGGAGTTTAGGACATACTAGGCATGGCCATCCGTAAGACTGAGACAGGATCCACTTATGATCTTTTTATCCGGCTGCAGGAGAAAGTTGACAGGACAGCCTCCAGCAATCCTGATCTCCATCTGAACAGGGCAACGGTAAGACCTGTGGCTGTGGGGTGGAGGTCATCTGAAAGTCAAACAAATTTCGGTCTTAGCCTGTGAGGGTAACTGAGTATTCAAAGGAACAAGGCTGGGTACACACTGCAAGAGAAAAGTAACAGTAAAATTATTTCTAGGAAGAACTTGCTCAGTTTAACTTCAGTAGCTGGTGGCATCACTGGAGGGAAAGGAAAAGGGGTGAGGGGTGGGAGAGTATATAGGGAATAGGGGGAAGCTTATAAGACTCTTCTGAAATGCTTATAAAAATAGAATGACCCAACTCTTAACTATTTTAGAGTTTGGAAGTTGGGTTCTTTGAAATGACTCCATCTTTGGGGTTGTGATTACTGTGGTTAGGTAAAAGGATGTGAAGGTGTTACCATCTCTTCAGGATGTTCATTGTAGCTCCGGAAAAAAAACTGGGTAGGAAAAACGGTTTATTAGGTTTCTAATCGATTATGCCATTACTTCCCCCAGCATAGTTTGTGTTAAAAATATTTATAATTGGGAGGTTTTGGGTTACTTCTTATGCAGTTACATAAATACGAAGAGAATTATGGGGAGGCCCTGGATGGCTTCTCTCGAGCTGCAGTGCTGGACCCTGCCTGGCCAGAACCCCAGCAGCGAGAGCAACAACTCCTGGAATTCCTGAATAGATTAACCAGCCTCCTTGAGAGCAAGGTAAAGGTGTCTAAAGGCCGAATCCTACTTCTTTACATTCTGCTGTACATCAGTAAAGTAAGACTAGAATAGGCTTTGGTACTAGTGACCCTATGGCAGTGGTAGGTGGGAGGGAAGGACTAGTCTCTCCAGGGGAGTGACTAGTTCCTAGCTTCTAATCTATTTCCCCTTCCTTGGCAGGGAAAGGTGAAGACCAAAAAGTTGCAGAGCATGCTGGGAAGCTTGCGCCCAGCCCATCTAGGCCCTTGTGGTGATGGGCGCTACCAGTCAGCCTCTGGGCAGAAGGTGACCCTGGAGCTCAAGCCGCTGAGTGCACTGCAGCCTGGCGTGAACAGCGGTGCTGTGGTCCTGGGGAAGGTGGTGTTCAGCCTCACCTCAGAGGAGAAAGTCCCCTTGTGAGTTTATCTTTGCCTTTCCTCTTTTTTTATCCTCGGAACTAGTACTGCCACTTCCTGGCCTTTCTCTGACAGTTGAAGACAATTAGTGGTCACAGGCCAGTGAGTTCTGCTTCCCTTCTGTGCCTGTCCCATGAGCAGGTACTTTCTAAGCCAGTGGTTGGCAAACTGCGGTTCACAAGCCTCGGTTTGCCGCTCTGTTGACTAATGAGTTTGTCAACCACTGGGATAGGGGCTTAATCACAAGGAACAACAATAGCCTGTAATTATTGGAATAAAAAATCTAGGTCAACAGAGTGGCAAACCGTGGCTTGTGAGCCGCAGTTTGCCGACCTCTGACAATCTCTAGATTCGGTACTATCCATTTTTTCCGTTTCACCAGATGTTTATTGAACATCTATGTGCTATAGAGGATAAAAAAAAAAAGAGAGAGAAATGTAAAGGACTCAAACTAAGGGTGCTTATAGGCTAGCAGAGTAAATAAGTTAAGAATGTTCATTTAGAAAATTTTTAACTTTTGAAAAATTAGGGTTTTATCAGTGCCATCGCTCCTTGGTCTTTTTTTCTTAATTTAAAATATATTTTTATTGGTCTCAGAGAGGAAGGGAGGGATAGAAACATCAACGATGAGAGAGAATCATTGATCAGCTGCCTCCTGCATGCCCCGCAAGGGAATAATCGAGCCCACAACACCGGCATGTGCCCTGACCAGGAATGGAACCATGATCTCCTGGTTGATAGGTTGACACTCAACCACTGAGCCACACAGGCTGGGCTTGCTCCTTGGTCCTTCACTCACTTCCCGGATGTTCTCTTGTGTTCCTTGCCAAGCAGTCCCTGTTCTTTTCCTTATCACTGAGGATTTGTTTTCCTGATTTGACCCAGCTATTTTTCATTTCTATAAGATTCAGTCCTTTTAAGGCAAACTTTCTTGCTTTTTGATTTCAACATTTCTCCTAGAGTCCCCATATCCAACCATTGTCTTTACTGAATTTATCACAAGAGAAAAGTTATTCTACTGCCTATCACAGTTGTACTGTAAGTGTTGGTTTAACTGTCTAAATCCTGCTAGACTGCTAGCTCACATAGCTGGATTGGTGTTTTACTGCTAAGCACAATGCTTGACATATAGTATTCAGTAAAAGTTTGTGGAATTAAACTAAATTGACAATTATGGTTAGAGAGTTTGATAAAGGTTGTAGTAGTTAAACTGATAGACCAAGAAATAATGTTTCAATAATCAACATTTTGAGCAAATTCATAATTAATAACTAGAGGCCCGGTGCATGAAATTTATAAACTCGGGGGATCCCTCAGCCCTGCCTGCACCCTCTTGCAATCCGGGACCCCTCAAGGGATGTCTGACTGCAGGCTTAGGCCTGCTCCTAAACTGGCAGTTGGACATCTTTAGCGTTGCCGCTTTTGCACTCGCTAGCCATAAGCCTGGCTCAGGGTTTCTGGCGGAGTGGCACTCCCTCTGTGAGAGTGCACTGACCACCAGGGGGAAGCTCCTGCAATGAGCGTCTGCCCCCTGGTGGTCAGTGCACATCACAGCGACTGGTCATTCCACCTTCGGTCAATTTGCATATGAGCCTTTTATTATATAGGATTGTCGAATGGTCTCAGTGTGCATGTGTCCTAATTCTTGGCAAACTGACAGATCGACGAGTCATATGCATGTTCTCTAAAGATATTATTTATCTAAGACAAATGAGGACTCCAATGTCCATAGTGAATGATGGTACTGATCATAGGTTTTCTAGATAAGTTACTAAAAAAATCACTTGTTTATTTTATTGATATTTAAAAATACCCCTGTTTCTGTTCTTTCTTGCCCACTTTTCTTTGTTTTCTCTTCCTCTTAACTCATTTGAACCGGGCAGTACATTTGGCCTGGTGGATTCAGATGGCCCTTGTTGTGCAGTGATGGTGTATAACATGGTGCAGAGTTGGGGAGTGCTCATCGGGGACTCCGTAGCCATCCCTGAGCCCAGCCTTCGGCATCACCGAATTCAGCACAAGGGAAAGGTGGGTGATGGTGAGGATTCTTTCTCACATGCTAGGCTCTGACCATGGGGCCAAGTTTATATCTTAAAAATATGTAAAAGGATGCATTTGTGTGTATGATATTATATATGTACTACTAAACACATATATGTAATTTTTACTGAAAAGGGAAACTACTGATAAACAGAAAGAATGAAAGACTGAATAGACAAAGAAATACTGTATGATATTACTTATATGTGGAGTCTACAAGTTTTCTGAATTTGTAGGAAACAGAGTAGAATGGTGGTTACTGTCGAGTTGGGGGATTGGGGAGATGTTGTGTAAGGGTACAAGCTTACAGAAGATAAGTCCTAGAGATCTAATGCACAGCACTAGTGATTATTGACAAAAACGGTAGTATAAACTTTAAAGTCGCTAAGAGACTAGATTTTAATTGTTCACACCATGAAATAGAAATGAAAATTATGTGACTTGACAGAGATGTTAGCTAACACCAGGATGGTAATCATACTGCAAAATATGAATTATCGAATCAACATGCTTTGTACCTTAAACTTACATATTGTTGTAAGTCACTTATCTCAAAATAAATTTTAGAAGGTGGGGTGGGAGGGTGGGATGGGAGTGATTAATTGGGGAACTTATATGTATAGTTCATGTATAACTATAACATATAACTTATATGTATAACCCATGGACACAGACAATAGCCTGGTGAAGGCCTAAGGGGCATGTTTGGGGTGGAGGGGATTAATGTGTAGATGAACCACAGTTTTCTAATCCACTCATCTGCTGATGGGCACTTACTAGGCTGTTTCCAAATCTTAGCTATGGTGAATTGTGCTGCTATGATCATAGGGGTGCTTATATCCTTTCTGATTTGTGTCTCTAGTTTCTTGGGATGTATTCCTAGAAGTGGGATCATTTGGTCAAATGAGAGATCCATTTTTAGTTTTTTGAGGGAACTCCATACTGTTACCCACAGTGGCTGCGTTTCCACCAGCAGTGCACGAGGGTTCGTTTTTCTCCACATCCTCTCCAGCGCTTGTTTGTTGATTTATTGATGATAGCCATTCTGACAGGTGTCAGATGGTACCACATTGTTGTTTTGGTTTGCATCTCTTGGATGATGTTATAATATTTTTATTATATTTTTATATCTGCCCATATCCATGATTACTTTCTTAAATTCATTTCTGAGGTAGAATCCTGGCCCTAAAGGGTATGCAGAAAGATTTTTGATACATATTGCCAAATAATTTTGTGGAAGGTTGCACCAATTAATACCAAAAGTGGATGTAATTGTTTCCTATAGTTTTCTTCTCAACTCTTTGTACAAACCTTTGAAAAGTTATTTGCTAATTTTATGTGAAAAATATAGCATCACAATTATTTGGCTTGGTTTCTTGATTATTGGTGAGGTTGAATATTTTATATCTCTATTGACTTTTTATTTTATTTAAAAATTTTTTAATTTATTGATTGATTTTTAGAGAGAAAGAGAGAAACATTGATTTGTTGTTCCACTGATTATGCATTTATTAGTTGATACTGTATGTGCTCTGACTAGGGATTGAATGCAACCTTGGCATATTGGGATGAAGCTCTAACCAACTGAGCTACCCTATTTATATACTTTTTATAAATTGACTTTTTTTTTTTTTTTTTTTTTTTTTTTTTTTTTTTTTTATCACATCCCCAGATTATTGCTGGGAAATTTTTTAAAAATTGATTTGTGAGAACTCTTTAATTTACCTCTGTAGTTTGCCTTAAAAAAGCCTCCTTTGCCATCACAATGGAACAATCTTTTTTGCATGAAGATCTTTTAAAAACAGGTTTTAAAGTACATTTGAATTGATGAGATGAGCTGATTCTTTTCTATTATTTGGAGAACTTTTAAACCACACATTCTGTCTCTTCCTCCTGATATAAAGGGAGAAGTAACTTAATTTATATCTGGCAGGTTAATTTAGGGCCTTACAAAGCCTTGAACTGAGAGTTTTGCATCATTTCTAGCTGGCTGGCTACTATGTATATCTAGTTATAATTGTCAGCAAACACTGTGGGAAGGGCAGATTCTGTGAGGGCTGGTGGCATCCTTTTGTTAGCCAGTGCCAGGAACCTGTCTTTTTTTAGTCAGAATTGTCTCATTCTTGTAGTGACACTACTGGCACCCTTCCTGCCCCAGGTTTACCTTCCAAAGGTTAAAAACTTTGGGAAAATTACACTGAGTGGCCAGATTATTATGATCTCTGAACGCATAATAAACTGGCCACTGTGAGTGTGTGTGTGTGTGTGTGTGTGTGTGTGTGTGTGTGTGTTAGAGGCCCAGTGCATGAATTTGTGCATGGATGGGGTCCAGCCAGCCTGGCCAGGGGGAGGGGACATGGGCGATTGGCCATCCTGCCTGCTGATCAAACTCCTGGTCAAGGGGACAATTTGCATATTAGCCTTTTATTATATAGGATATACAATAAATAATCTGAGTGGCCAGATTATTATGCATTCAGAGATCATTATAATCTGGCCACTCAGAGTATATCTCCTTTGTTAGCTCAGCTTTGCTGAATGTGAGATGGAGGTAAAGTATGCACATACTGAGGAGGTGGAGAGGAGGAGGTCGGCACAGGTGGTGTGAATTTGTCCCACTTTAGGGTCTGTAACGAACCTCTGAATGTTTGTCTTTTCTAGGACTATTCCTTTTCCAGTGTCCGCGTAGAGACGCCCCTCCTGCTGGTGGTGAATGGGAAGCCTCAGGGCTCCAGCAGCCAGGCTGCAGCCACAGTGGCGTCTCGGCCGCAGTGTGAATGACCTCACTCACCCTGCATGCTGAAGAGCGAGCGGAGGCACGGAGATAAGCTCAAGGGCACTCGTCAGCTGGACCAGCCGCGTCCAGTGACTCGGCCTGAATGGGGGGATGTTTTAGATAACTTTTCCTTCCTCTGCCCTGTAAGACTCTTTGTGTCTTTTCTCTCTCTCTCCTGTTATCATGTTCTAGCTCTCTGGGGCCACATGTTCTCCTGGTATCTCTCTCCCGCCTCTTTCATTGCTCTTCTGTGTTTTAGGCAGAGAGCATGGAACCGGTAGAAGTGTTGGGATCTTGCCATGGGACAGAGTCCCCAAAGTTCTGTTCTTGCCTCCTTCCTGAGCCTCATGTGTACATATCATTTCAGTATTTATTGCTAAGGGAGGGGGCTTAAATTTTTAATGGCTTGGTTTTTGAGCAATTTTTATTTTTATTTTTAAAATTTAGATTTATCCCCTTCTTTGGGGCTGGAAAAGAATTAAATTTGTTTGGAAAAAAAAATAATACTGTGTTGTTTGGCCTGTTTCATTCCCTCTAGGCTTGGATTCTTGGTTTTTAGGGTCACTTCAGGACATTAGAATAACACCCCACCACCTTTCCCCCTGTATAAAGAGGAGTGCAGTTCCCTTCCAGTTAAAAGTGTCCTGACAGTAGGCAGTCCAGAGCAGGAGTGACAGCTCCACAAAGTCTCCGGGGGCGAGCTTCCTTCGTTTCCCCCATTCTGCCATCCGAGAGGCGGTCATTAGCATGGCCCAAGATGACACACACTTCCAGTGGTGTTATTGGACTGAAAGACCAGAGAGAGCTAGGTGTTCAGTTTTTAATATGCCGGTGATACATTTATAACAGTTTCTCTTAATATCCTTGTGGAAAAATGGGAAAATGTGAGGGAGGATCAATAGGCAACTGGATAATAGTTTAACTTGGGAGAAAAACTTTTAGTAGTATGGCTCAGGTCTTTGTCCTTGATCCAGTCCTGTTATATATTTTTTTATAATTGATTTCAGAGAGGAAGGGAGAGGGAGAGAGAAAGAAACATCAATGATGAGAGAGAATCATTAATTGGCTGCCTCCTGCATGCCCCATTCTAGGGATTGAGCCTGCAACCCTTTTCAACTCTTCTAAAAAATTTTTATTTTATTGTGTTCATGTTCAACTTTTGATTAGTGACTTGGATATCATTAATAATTCATTCAGCTTATAAAGAATAAAATACAGAGGACTCCTTATAATTGATGATAGAATAAGCACCTAGCTATCTAAAGAAGATACAAGGACTGAATCTAGGAAAAAATTTGGAAGTCTATTCTTTTGGTCCAAAAGGCCAATTTTAGAGGTATTTCTTCAACATCATGTATGAAAAAATGCTAGGACTTTAGTAGATAAGATAAAGTCAGCATGAATAACCAGTATGATATCATTACAAAAAATACTCTTAGACTACACCATGAATCGTAACCAGAGAGTTTTTTTGTTTTGTTTTTCATATATAGATATATATATTAATTTCAGAAAGGAAGAAAGAAATAATGATGAGAGAGAATCATTGGCTGTCCCCTGCCCACCCCCTACTGGGGGTTGAGTCTACAACCTGGACATGTGCCCGGACTGGGAATGGAACCCTGAACTGGTTCACAGATTGATGCTGAGTCACACTGGCCAAGCCAGAGAGTTTTCATAAACTGTCAGACCACAGGTGGAGCCTTGTGTTCAGTTCTGGATGTTGATTTTGAAGAGTGTGAGGAACTTGAGGGGTGTAAAATATCTAGAGAAGCAGTTGAAAGGAACTGTTGTGTTGCAAGGGTGATGGATGCCAGTAGAGTCAGAGAGATGAGAATCAATAACTGTTTCCCTTCTACTCAAGTCCTGAGATGATTTGACATAATCTGTGTTGGGCCAAACAAAAGAAAAATGGCCAATAGATGGTAGAAGCACAACTAGAAAGATTTTATGATGAAATATAATGAACAAATGAGTATGCAAAATATGTCTGTACAGTTTAAAGAGTAATTAAAATACCTGTGCAAATGTCCACCTGGCTTAAAAACTAGGACATCACTAGTATCTTAGAAGTCCTATGTGCCTTTTCATGACCTCATTTGCTTTCATAGCTGTATAATATCTCGTTTTATGCCAGTTTATTCATTTTACTGTTAAATGATATATATTTTTCCTATCAATGTAATACATTATTAATATTCTGTACATGTCCTGATGTGTAAGTCCAAGAGTTCCTTTTATAGTAATGGTTCTTAGATTATCAGCACTACCTGGAACTTCCTTAGAAGTGTAAATCTGTAGGCTCTAATCCCTGAATTAGAAACTATCTAAGGAAGAGTCCAGCAATCTGTGATTAACAAACCCTTCTGGTGATTCTGATTTGTGAGAACCATTGTTTCAGAATATTGGCACAAGTATGGAATTGCGGGGTTATAGAGAACATACATGCCCAACTTTTTTGAGAAATTCCAAACATTTCCAAAGAGGAAATTTGTAACAATTTATGTCTATTATGTCTGCAGAGGAGTCTTCTCAATGCTTCTCATCCTTTCCTAATTTTGGTGTTTTACTTTTAAGAGATTGCAAATATAGAGGTTAGAATAACTTGTTACCTTAATTTGCATTTTTCTCACTATTAATGGGCTTGAGCATCTTTTCAATATTTACAAGCCACTAATATTTTCTCATGCTAAAAATGACTATTTGTGTTTTTGCCCTTTCTGTATTGGAATTCAAATTTATTTGTAGGACTTATTTATGCATCCCTGTACTAATATTTTGTCATTTTATGTGCTGTAAACCTCTAACAGTTCTTAGCCTGCCTTATTACTTTCTGACTTTGATCTTTTGTTGAACAAAGTTCTTAATTTCAATGTCACTGAATTTGCAATCTTTTTTTTATGGCTAGCACTATGTCATTTTTTCATTTTTTAATTATTTTCTAAATTATTTGTAATATGTTCCTTTTTTAAAAAAATTTTCTCTGGTAGCAGTAATTTTGTTCCCTTTTTCTTTAATGATAATAGTTTATTTGAACCGTATCTCTTTTCTTTTCAGCACTTCGTCTCTTATAAAGTCTTAAAAGAACTTGACTTTGACCTTTATCTTTTGTATATTTTTTTCTATTTCATTAATTTTTATTTTTATCTTCATAATATTCTTTTTTTTCTCCTCCCCAATTGTTATAAGGACTGCCTTATAACAATAGCCTGTTCATGAGCTGGCGATTATTTTTATATCTGATAGACAACTTGATACTTCATTGTTTTTAATTAGCATTCCTTTATGATGTTGAACATTTTAAAATAAAATACTTGTTAGCTACTTATGAATTTGAGGTAAAATGTAAAAGAGGACATTCAAGACTGAGAAACTGTATGAAGGAAAAGAGTTTAGGGAGATACATTTAGGACATGATAGAACACTCTACATCCTATATTATATGGCACATTTTTTATTATGTTCTAACTAGAGGCCTGATGCACAAAATTCATGCAAGGGGCTTGGCCCTTGCAGTCTTGGCTGCCTCAGCCTGCCATTGTAGTCCCTTGCAGCCTTGGCTGGCTCTTGTATCCCTGATTTCGTCCGGAAGGTTGTCTGGAAGGTCCTAGGCTGTTCCGTCTAATTAGCATATCAGATCTTTGTTATATAGGACTAGAGGCCCAGTGCATGAAATTCATTCATCGTGGGGGGTAGGGTGGGTCCCTCAGCCTGGCCTGCACCCTCTCCAATCCAGAACCCCTTGGGGGATGTCCGACTGCCAGTTTAGGCCCAATCCTACAGGTGTCTGGGATCATGGGTGGCTTTGCCCAGGCCAGCCACAGGCTCCCAGGTCCCCAGGCGGCTTTGCCTGGGCCCAGCTTTGTCAGGAAGGACATCTGGAAGGTTGTTCAGAAGACGTCTGGTCTAATTAGCATATTACCCTTTTATTAGTATAGATTACTTGATTGTATAGTGTGAATTCTTTAAGGACATGATAATTTATACTCATCTTTGAGTTCTAGGTATTACCATAGACATCTGTGAGTGTTAGACATTGCCTGACTCACTAACAAATGGCTAATTGGCTTAATAGATGGTGGGTTAGGTAAATAGGATATATTAGTCTAATATAAAGGGTGTTAATACCTTGTATACAGAATAATAAAGAATTTTGAAACTATTCTATTAACTTGAAGAACCTATAGAGCAGGGCTTTGCTGTGGTAGTTGTTCCTCTTATAGATCAACGTAGTATCTAGCCTTTTAGAGAAACACTGGAAATTGCTAATTATCAGAATAGTAGAGGCCTGGTGCACAAAATTTGTGCACTTGGGGGGGTGTCCCTCAGCCTGGCCTGCACCCTCCCGCAGTCCATGAGCCCTCAGGGAATGTCTGACTGATGGCATAGGGGAGTGGGCCATCAGTCAGACATCCTTAGTGTTGCAGTGGAGGCAGGAGAGGCTCTCACCACCACCACTTGCTTGCCATAGTGAGCCTGACTTTGGCTAAGTAGCACTCCCCCAGTGGGAGCGCACTGACCACCAGGGGGCAGCTCCTGTGTTAAGCATCTGCCCCCTGGTGGTCAGTGTAAGCCATAGTGACTGGTTGTCCTGCTGTTTAGTCAATTTGCATATTAGCCTTTTATTATATAGGATGAAGTATGGAGGTCAGAATTAGGGAACTGGATAAACTATATCAGTCATGATTCAATTAGGGGAACAAAGTCTGTATGAAATATAGGATAAGTGTTTTATTATACAAATTAGACCTTATGCAATTGTCAGAAGAGCTGAGGGAGTGAAGGTCTAGGAGAAAGTTGGACCCAGCCTAGTGGACCCATCTGAGACCGGTTTGGCTCAGTGGATAGAGCATTGGTCTGCAGGCTCAAGGGTCCCAGGTTCAATTCCAGTCAAGGGAATGTACCTTGGTTTCGAGCACATCCCCGGTGGGGAGGTGTGCAGGAGGCAGCTGGTCAATGTTTCTCTCTTATGGATGTTTCTAACTCTCTCTCTCCCTCTCTGTAA